ATAGAACAGCATTTAGAACTCTTGTACATAGGGTCGCTATGAGTCGCAAGCGACTCGATGGTACATAACAACAACAGTGGGTTTCTGAGGCTGCAGAGCCTCTGGTGGATTTGAACTATTTGAACCAAGGTGTGCCCTTTAGGTGAGCAGCACGACTCCCTCCAGACTGCACTTCCAGAGCTCCCTAGCTGTCTACTAACACCTGTAATGCCTGAGTGCTTTGATTACAGCAATCGAGTCCTCTTTATCTCAAAATCGAGCAAAGCACCTGGAATATGAGAAATCTATCAAACCCAATGCCATCGAGTCGGTTCCAACTCATAGCAACCTTGTAAGACAAGAATAGAGTGGTTTTATAGGGTTTCCATGACCCTAAGTCCTTATGGAAGCAGACTACCTCATCCTTATCTTATGGAACAGCTGGCAGATTTGAACCACTGACTTTAGGGTTAGCACCCTAACACTTAATCCACTGTATCACTAAGGCTCCTTGGAATATTGTCACCATTGTGTACCATCGAGTTAAGACTGACTCATAGCTGACCCTCCAGCGGGTTTTCAGAGGCAGTGAACTTTTGCATGGCTGTAGATTGCCCATCTTTCTCCTGCAGAACAGTTGGTGGATTCGAACTTCTGGAAACTCGCCTTTTGGTCAGCAGCACAACATCCTATGCACTATCCTGCCAGAGCTCCCTGGGCATATAAGTGATTAATAAATGCTTGCTGTGTGTGGAATACTGGCTAAATAAATGATGCCTTTTCCTGTTTTCTGGTGTGCCACCATTAGGACTGATGTTTGAAACTGTGTTTGTAGTACTGGAGTGGGTTTGCCTGGCCTCACACATTTGCAGGGCAATTATCCAGAGCTGGGGTGCAGTTGATGTCATCACACAGGAGGAGAGTACTGCCCGCTTAAGAAGCAAACCCAAGATTTAGGGCTTTTGCCTACAAATGAACTAATTGATGCAGATGAGCTCAGAGTGAATGGTCCCTCAGAAGGACAGCTAATTAGCATATTAATGGAGTTCTGGCCATACTTATGTTGCAGTCTTTTGTTGTTTCAATACCCAGTGCCACCAGTCATGACTGCAAGATGTAGCATTCCACTTTAAAAGCAGGAACTAATGCCTTTAATATAGGGAGCTCTGGTGGCCTAATAGTAAGGCTCTGCTCTACAATCCTGAAGGAGTGCAGTTTGAATCCACCAGCTGCTCCATGTGAGAAGGATGGAGACTCTCCTCCTATGTGATTAACTGCCTCTGAAAACGTACTGGAGGGTCAGCTATGGGTCAGTTTCAACTCAATGGTACACAGCAGCCGCAACAACAATGACTTTAATGAAAGCCGTTTATTTGTTTCAAAGGAATAAGTAATTGGAACTAATAAACAGAAATGTATACAGAATATAGTTGCTCCTTGCTGTGGCCCTTAGAAGAAGCTCACTTTTTGGCCTCCACAGGTATAAGTCATAATGCACACAGACAGATTGATACACTCACATATACATACATATACATGATTTCAATGCTTTAAGGAAATAGGAAGACCTGAAGGTACTAAAAGAGCCCTGGTGGCATACTGAGTTACTTGTGCTGCTAACTAAAAGGTTGACAGTTTGATTTCACCAGCAGCTCCATGGTAGAAGAATGAGCATAGCCACGAGTAGGAATTGAAAAGACAGCAGTGGATTTGGTTTTCATTTTCAGAGGGCACTCACTATAGGAAGGTCTAGGGAATTCGAGTGGCCTCGTGGTTAAGAAGCTGCACTGCAATCCCAAAGACACGTGGCTCAGATCCCACCAGCTGCTCTGCAGAAGGATGTACAATCTCCTCCTGTGTGATTAACTGCCTCTGGAAAATCACTAGAGGGTCTGTTCCACCTCAACAGCATAACAACAAAGAAAGGTCTAGTTATAAGATTAACTAATACCTTCCCTACCCCATAGCCAACCATCCACGTGTAGAGTGTTAGGAAAGGATGAAACACCTTTGGCACAAAAAGCATATGCTTGGCTCCCTTGTGTTCTTGCACTGACAGAAAGAGGAGGCAGAGTAAAAGACTTCATATACACATCGGACAAGGTCTTGTGCTTGATTTGTATTGTAAACGGGGCAACATAGGAAAAAATTACTAATATATCTTCAGAGAAGCAAATATTTCTTTCCACTAAGCAGAATTAAAACTAAATTATACTTGTTGAGAGAGAGAGAGAGAGAGAGAGATGCTAGCAACACTTTCTCAAAAAAAGGCACTTTACCTGAACTTTGCAGGAAACCTTCACAGGATCTCCAAGCTCAGGACGGAAGCCTACAATCTAGAAAAATAAAAGCCAGTATTTAAAAGCATCCCCCAAATTTGGTAGTAAAACTAGACTTTTCTTAAACTCCCCTTGAGTCATCCTTCCTCGGGCACAAGCTTTGCTCCCCTCAGAAGTATTCTAAAAAGAAGAAACTGCACAATATTCTCTGGGCATAGGCAAGCAGCCCAACTTACTCCTGTGGTTGTGTCTGGTGGGCACACACAGTGGAAATTACAGCATGATAACCCCAAAGATGTAAAGAACTTTCTGCTTTCCGGGGGATATGCCTGGAAAGGTTCTGTCAGCCCCTTAAAACATGGCCAGAGAGAAGGAAGCTATTTTTGGGGAGAAGACAGTTACTGTTTGGCAGGTCTGTCTGATTGTTTGTATCACTTACGCTGTTGGTAATAATTTTTTTAAAAAAATATCCAAACCTGTAGTGTGTGAAGACAGAGCTCAAGAGAAATGGAATGGCCAGAACCCTCCTGCGCAGCTCACCCACTTATCACCACCACCATGTGATTATCAAGGGCCATCGTACCCGATTCATCTTGAGAAGGATGCAGGGCTGTCCCGTAGAATAGCCAAAAGTAGGGTCCTCCAGACCAGAGCAGTTCTTCAGAAAGGAGCGCTTAAACTGGCAGGCCTTCTTGTCCTCCTCCTCCTCACCATCTTGGATGAAGTACTGCCCTGGTGGGCAATCCACATTCATTTCCTCTTGAAGACTGTCATTATAGCCTACAATGTTTTGGGAGTGGCAAAGGGTCATGTTAGATAGGTATCTGTATCCAGTCACCTCCCACTGGCTTCCTTTTTTTTTTTTTACTTGTCAAAGATTTCATTTTATTTGAATACACAATTAATACCAATAGAGGCAGCAGTTTTTTTAAAAAAAATCAAACCATATATTATAATGGACAAATCTGCCATAAAGGACCTTATTGTGGTTTCAGCTTTGATTAATTTCTTTCACTGGAACTCAATATTTCAGAAAAGCATTAGTGATTTCTTTTCTTTCCCTCTTTTTAAAAAATATTGGTTTGCTTACAAAGTTTGCATACATTGTGTTTCACACTATTCTTCATTCACATTTTGTTTCATAAAATCATTCTCATTCCTTATGTTTTATAAAATTAATCCCCATTGGAGCTTGCCCATCATTACCCTGCCTTTTTGCCTGGATCCTTCCCACCTCCACCCACCAAACTGTGCAACTGTGTGATTTTGCCCCTACCCATCCTCACCCCTCCGCTCCCACCCCTTCTCCCCCTCAAGTCCCCATACATATTTTACTAGTTATCCTTCTAGTTTTACAATAATGGTCTTATGCAGTATTTGTCCTTATGAGACTGAGTTAGTTCACTCAGCATAATGCTCTCCAGTCTCTCCCAAGTTAAATCATTACTCCTGAGTTCTGCATAATATTTCATTGTGTGAATTTGCCACAATTTATCAATCCATTCAGTTGTGGTTGGACTTTTGGGCTGCTTCCATGTTCTTGCAATGGTGAATAACGCCTGGCTTCCTTTTTCCAGCTTATTTGCACTTTTCTGAAAGTTACTCTGGCCCTAGCCCAAGGCCCTTCATCAGTCACCACGGCCCACTGGTTAGTCACTTGAGCCCACTTTGATTGTTGTCGCCTTGCTTCTCATCCCCTCTATACTTCAGAACGTCTGTTTCTGAATCTATTGTTAGCTACTTGTCAACTTTTCTCTATTTTCCACAATTTCTTTTCAGATACAGTAAGTAAGCTGTATGCATGGAAGGCTGTTTCTATGTTGGGGAGATAAGAGGTAGATTTTGGAAGAGGAACTGAAATATGTCAAGCCATGCTGTCTATAAAGAAGCTGAATACTTGAGTTCAATCTCTTTACAAGGAAGCAGCTCCCACATGGGTTAATGTTTCAAATTAGCTCAGACTTTCACAGGAGAATATGTCCCTAGGATCCACCAGCAATAATCGAACTGTACTTCTGGTTAGCAATGTAACCCACTACAAACTAGGCCATCAGAGCTCTTTACCAAATGTATTTCTGGTTCTTCAACCAGACAGATTAAAGTTTGGGTTTGAGATTATTAAAAGACAACAGGGAATTTTATATCTATTCCAGTTGCAACTGTGCTTTTATTTAATCCCCTCCCTCTTTGGCAATGCTACATTCAGTTCAAGCTTTTATTTGAATCTCTCTCTCTTTTTTTTCCTTTTTAGAACAAGAACTCCACTCACATAATAACGTCCTAAATAAAAGTTGCAATCACATACTCATTGTTTCTCTTGAGGGTGTTCCATTACAAATAACGTGACATGGGTATGACTGCTATTTCAAATCCCAACCCTCATGAGAATGAAACTAATACTCCAGGATGTCTATTTTGGAGATGTGTTCATTTTTAGCAGGATGTATTAGCTATATCTGGGAGCTCAAAACTTCATGCTTTTTCTAAATGCTCCTCCCACATTAGAACAGAACTGGAATTTCTTCATCTATTATCTTCCCACAGGGTTTTCTTAAACAGAGATTATGGAAACAAACTTGTAATAGTTCACAAGTATTGTGATAGAAAATACTGGCTATGCTCCCAAAATACTTTTTTTAGTCTTTTAAAAAAAATTATTATTAATTTCAATGAAAATTTACAAAGACTTTGGATTTCCATTCATTCATTGTTGCACTTTTCTCCCCCCACCCCAACCTCCCCCCTAGTACACTACCCTCTTGGAAAAGTAAAAGAAAAATTCTTTCATTGTTTTACAA